CCCCAAAACCCCAAAACCCCAAAACCCCAAAACCCCTTTGATTATCAAGATATAGAATATTATTATTTAAATTAAAATAGAAATGCCTAAAAATATGGTATGTCCCTGTTGCCTCAACTTCTTACCAATTTAGACTGATCAGCAATATGAAGCTTATATTCAGGAAGAGTACCATAGAATAGCTTCACAATACCCAAATATTTTCATGACTCGGGAGGATCTTATGGAGAAAATGAACATTCCACAGAATACTCCAGAACTTGTTATAGTAAGAGCAAACAACAAGGGTACAGGGTTCATGAGAAATACCTATGACGAGAGATATCTCCGCAATCGTATCACTCAGGAAGACTTCCTCAACATTATAGATTATGCTTCTGGAATTATGAAATAGACTTTATAGTGTCAAGAGAAACGCCGATGCTATGAAAACCAATTGGAAGAATAAAGTATTTTATGGCAGTGCAATCATTTTCTTAGTTATATACATGATGATGGCCACTTACTCTCCTGATGTAGGAGAGTCTGCAGTCTATGATGCTATTCAATTCACCGCTCTTGGTATTTCTTTGATCTGAATATTCTATATTTCCTTCTTTAACTTCATCAAAAGTCAATATTCTTTCAGATCTTACGAACATATGGTTAAAAAGCTAGATCCCCTCTTTGAGACACTCAACAAAAATGATGTAGGAATCGAATGGTACGTTGTCCCAGGTCATTATTGGCTGGAAGTAAGAATTTTACCTATGAAGAAAAAGAAATGCAAGCCTCTTTTTAACAAAGAAAATGCCCCTATAGCTCAAAAATCTTTCCTGGACTCACGTATGATCCCAAGTAGGCTAAGCAATGCTTCTAAGGTCAAGCAGGAAAAGCCAGGGGAGCCCATGATGAACAACATTGTGAGTGATGAAAGTGAGAAACCTTATATTTTCAGTAACCCACTTTCCTCAGTTCATAATGATTTATAATAATTCAATCAACTTTGAGCATCATGGGGTTTTGGGGTTTTGGGGTTTTGGGGTTTTGGGG